TTAGATTTTGGTATCTATGAACAGAATTGTTCATTCTACACTTCTCTGAAATTCCAGTTTGAGGAGTGTTTGTCTTTCGATGCTGAATCACTTTTTAAAACAGATAAGCTTCTGGCTATCTTCATAACTGTGAGTAAGTCTTATTACTATAGCTAACTGTGCACATGTAAAAGACCATTACAATTAGCATAACAGTCCTGCCACTCTACAGTCAAGGGTTGCTGCTTCAATGTCTATCTAGTTTGATATAAACTAGAAAAAGCAAGCACTGTGTTCAGAATCCTGTCTCCAAATAGAAATTCATTTGTGTCAAACCAAGCAAGCTTTAGCATCTCAGTTATTTACAAAATGGTTCCAATAACATAAATGCCAACTGGTAAATCATTCCAACGCACTAGATGGACCAGAATCTGGAAATTTGGAAAAATGTTACAGCAAAAGTTCCTTATTGCTATATGTGGCAGTTGTTCTGTATATGGTTACACATACAAAATTAGTTGTTCTTGTAACTTGAAACAAGATGTTTTATAAGACTTAAATCTTAGAAAAGCTAGTATATTAAAAAAAACTTGATGTGAAAATGTGTACTAAGGGCTGAACACAAACCTATCTACATGTTTCTTCATAGAGAGAAACAACATTCACTCTTGGGCTCGTCTTTTGTGTTCATTTCACGTGGCTATGTGTTTATGTACAATTTGCAAAGTTCTGGTATTTGATATATAATAACATTATATCCTTCACTTTAGATGTTCATTTCACTTCGGTTGTATAGCAACAATGTGGTTTTGGTGTAAATTTATATATGTATATGCATATATGTGCGCGCACACACAATTTGTTTAAAACTTTTGCTCGTTGTCATCATTTAATTCCTGTTATAAATTGTTATTCTAAATAAATGCCAACTTTAATGACTGATTTTGTATTATTTCAAGAGAAAACCTTCTCAATTGTTTATGATTTGTATCTAACAAAACCATTTCTGAATCCTGCCTAAAATTTACCAGAATTCCTTTTATGTGCATAATCTGTCAGTAGCCATAATTTCCACATAGCTTTGAGAAGTTTGCACAGCACACCATAAAAATGTAGACTCTATATTCTAGGAAAATGCATTGTATTTATGCTATAGTACTCTGTTCCCCCAGTTCCAATATATTTCCCCCTTCAGTATCCCCAGGAAGCTATCTCTATATCCTGGTTCTAATACATTTTTATTACATTACTCATCGTTATGAATTAGCAGATCAAGTATATATGGTTTAAATCTTTGTTCTTAGGAAAGATTGTTGGTGCCATAGGAAGGAGACCCAGGTAACAATTTCTAAGTTGTATTACATCACACTGGGAAATACTAAACGTACAGATTGCCTGTATTTGAAAATGAAAGCCTCAGATTTCCTCATATTAAGGAATGCCTGGGTATTCTGTTTGAGGTAAAGAATGGGGCACCTGATCCCTTTAGAAATGCAATCCATCTTTTGGCATATGCTGAACTGAAGCATCTGTGCCCTTGGGATATGTCACCAAATGGTATTTGGGCTGTAGGAAAGAAAGAGCTTAGTTAGCTTCCTCACATTGCTTCCAGACTATGTGGATGTTAAGGCAGGCTATGTTTGTCCCTAGCATAAGTTTTTAGTGCAAGGGAAATGTTTGTTTTGCCATCTACTCTAGTCACTGGGTAAAGATTATCCTCATATCTAGTTAAAAGAAGTCTGCTCAATTTCACAACCAGATTTTACTTAGGTGTCTGCCAAGCAGCATGGAGACCATGCACAAAGTTCAAAGGGTTATACATCTATGTATCCATATCCAAACAAGGCAAGAATGGAATTCTGAGACTAGAATAAAGATGGAAATGATAAACTTTTTGAGACATAATTTCATATAGCCCACACTTGCCTGGAATTCACAATGTATTTAAAGCTCACTGTGAACTTGTGATCCTCCTATCCCTCCTGCCATTGGGACTGCACCACCTTGCCCAGCAAAAATGAGAATCTTAAATACCTAAAGTCATCTGAAACTTCAGCCTGACAATAGCAGTTAATTTGAAATTGTTGAAAGCATATGTTTAAGCGTCTGGGAATTTAGGAATGAATCAGAGAAATAGTCTTCTTGAGGCTAAATAAAAATATGTTTGATTAAATACATGCAATGAGAAGTTAAAATCCCAAATTGATAATCCTAAATTGATACAGGCTTTTATAAAAGTAAATGTTAGCAAAGCTAAGAATAAATGCTTAGAGCTAACCCCATTTTTACCAATTTGTGTGGTTTATCTGAGCCTCATTTGTGATGCCAAACACATTCAGTGTAACAACTATACCAACTCAATGTACATCTGTAATTGGGAGAAGAGAATCATTTTTCCTCCCCCCTTCACCTTACAGAAGCTCCTTTTAATGAAAATTAAGTTGTATTTCTTATTAAATGTGTAACTCTCCATTTTTCTTTTATTGAATATACTTTGATTTAGAGAGGGAGACAGAACCAGCCAGTGTAAGTGGACATTAAAAATACAATACATTATCACACTTATGATAATTATCACACTTACTTTCAGGAATAATGCAGATAAAATATCCTTATTTGAGTAGATTCTCTGAAGCTTGTGTAAGAAACCCCAATGACAAGACAATTCATTGAAGCAACAAACATGGTATCAAAATTTTCTCAGTTAATTCTTTGACAATACTCAGTCTAATGAAAAAAATACAGTAGCAACCATGATGCTGAAAGTTGGATGAATGGATTTTAAAAATGTGATACATGACTCAATTATCAATGGGATCAGACATTTTCATCCTTGTGAAAACAGCAGCATGGGTTTCCACAAACGTAGATGGTCTAGCTATGCTACATACTAAGGCTGCATGATGTAGCCTATTGGTCACGGGTCATAAAATTCTTCAGCATGCTACTTTACTGAATATAGCAATAAACTGTAATACAATGAATGGTAAGTATTCATTCCTAAACATAGAAAAGATGGAGCAAAACCAAAACATGGGTGATTTAATAAATGGCATGTCTGTAAATCATACCAAGAGTGAAGCTTTTGGGACTAGAAATTGCCCTGGATGAGTCAGTGATAAGGGAATGGAAGGAATCAAATATTATAGTGCACTTCTGTAATATTTATACACACTATACACTTGAGCTACACTCACATTCACATACCCATCAGCAGTCACACAAACCTACATAAAATTAAAAGTAATAAAGATAAATGTGAAATAAATAATTTTTAAAGAAACCCAGGAGACTGCTTCCTGAACATTACACCAGTAGCACAGACACTGAGATTGACAATTAATAGATGGGACCTCCTGAAACTGAGACGCCTCTGTAAGGCAAAGGACATAGTCAATAAGACAAAACGACAGCCCACAGATTGGGAAAAGATATACACCAACCCCACATCTGACAGAGGGCTGATCTCCAAAATTTACAAAGAACTCAAGAAGCTAGTCTCCAAAAAAACCAAATAATCCAATTAAAAAGTGGGGTACAGAACTAAATAAATAATGTTCAATAGAGGAATCTAAAATGGCTGAAAGACACATAAGAAAGTGTTCAACATCCTTAGCCATCAGAGAAATGCAAACCAAAAAACTCTGAGATAACATCATACACCTGTCAGAATGGCTAAAATCAAAAACACCAATGACAGTTTATGCTGGAGAGGATGTGGAGAAAGGGGAACACTTCTCTACTGCTAGTGGGAGTGCCAACTCATACAGCCACTTTGGAAATCAGTGTGGTGGTTCCTCATGAAAATGAGAATCAGTCTACCACAAGATCCAGCAATTCCACTCTTAGGCATGTACCCAAAAGAAGCACATTCATACAACAAGGACATCTGTTCAAAGGTGTTCATCACAGCATTATTTGTAATAGCTAGAACCTGAAAGCAACCTAGATGCCCCTCAGCTGAAGACTGGATAGAGAAAATGTGGTACATTTACACAATTGAGTACTGCTCAGTGGGGAGAAAAACAATGGATTCTTGAAATTCGAAGGCAAATGGATGGAACTAGAAGAAACCATTCTGAGCGAGGTAAATCAGTCACAAAAAGACAAACATGGTATGTACTCACTCATATGTGGATTTTAGACATAAAGGGATTACCAGCCTATAATCCACACTGCCAGAGAAGCTAGTAAACAAGGAGGACCCGAAGAGAGACATAAATGGTCCCCTGGAGAAGGGAAAAAGGGACAAGATCTCCTGAGCAAATTGGGAGCATGGGGGAGGGGAAAGGGAACTAGGAGAATGAGAAGGGGAGAAGAGGAGAGGTGAGGAGGACATGATGGGACAGGGAGGTTGGGGGAAGAATAGAAAAGAGCAAGATAAGAGATACCATAATAGAGGGAGACATTATAGGTTCAAAGAGAAATCAGGCACTAGGGAAATGTCTGGAGAGATACAAAGATGACACCAACTAACAAGCCAAGCAACAGAGGAGAGGCTAACTTAAATGCCCTCCCCTGATAAGGAGAT